CTGTGGGACTTGAAGTAATATATGTTCACTCACCAGGCACTTACAACCAGCCTGGATCCAAACGCCTTGCTACACTCATGAAAATAGTGTTCACAATGCAATCACTTTATTCAAGGAGCTTTTAGACTATTTAGGAAGAAAAACACATCAACTAAGAACTAAGCATTTTGGCCTGCTGAGTTTTCTTTTAATGTGCAGACTCTAGACTCAAACAAGCCTGCTTGAAACAATATTTACTGAAGTGGTCACCCTTCCTGGTGTTTGCCCTCTCAGAATCTTGACTCAGTGGTTGCTTCAAGTGTTTCTACCTGGATCTCAGCATCCAACATGGCCGGGCAAGTGGTAGGTGCCCAATTGTTATCTCTGAATGACTGAATAATTCAGTTCAGGCATCAAATTATTCTTAAGATTATAGAGTTCTTTGACATAGAGATTTTTGAAGTATCAAAAAGTATTAGTTGTAATCCTACTTGATGAAATGAGAATCTTATACAGTTTTTTTAGGATACAAGCATATGCTAATAACCATGAAGTTCACACGAAAGGTCCTACTGCAAATCTCCCATTACTTGTAACAAGAAACCATGAGACTCTGTAGCACGTGGAGTTAATAGACTGTTCTGGAATCATGTATCCAGATTATCTTCTTACTGTTCCTGCTAGAATTCCATGTTTGTCTCATCATCCATGTCCTTGCTGGACATGCTGACCTTCTATTTCCTTGGTGGTCTTAAGTGTTTTAAGGCTCTTAAGTATTTGTTTGTGCTTTATAACCTCAGGCTAGTAAGAGAAAGATAATATTTTTTGGAATGTTCAGACTGGAATATAGAAAGAAGAGCTCACTCCCATACTTAAGATTTTGAAAGGCTGGATAATCAATATCGCTCCTCCTGAGTCCATCAGAGTTGAGATCAGAGCAACTTGTTAACCTAAAATCTAGAGAAATACAGAGTCATCAAAGAAAATAGGGCACGCAACCTCTTGCTTCCTTAGGACAGATGCCAGAGGCTCTATAAGCCAAAAAGAATAATTCAGCTATAATTGTTAACAAATGACTGAAGGCAAGAAAGAGTCCTGGGAAGTCCTGAGAGTCACAAACTCAGGAAATTCACCGTGTCTCTAAGCTTTTGCCCATCAATCTCCCAGGGGGTCCAGACAGGCTGGAGAGCAGGATACACACCAGAGAACTGCTTTCCGGTGGTACAAGCCTGAGGCCACAGCAGCTCCCTCCTGAGAAGGGCAGGGAGGCCTCCATCCCCCACATAGAAAGGAACCTTAACTGGGTGTGGGAGGGGTAGAGAGCCCCTCTACCCCAGGGCACAGGGAGCCACACTGGAACTGGGGGAAGGGCCAGTGGGTGAAGAGGCAGAAACACACCTTGTCCCAGACTAAGAGGCTCCATCTGCTAAGGGAAAGTGGGGAACACTCAGAAGGTCCAGTCCCAAAACTGAAACACAAAGCACCTGGCTGAGGAGGAGACTAGACCAGAGCAGAGGTAGTGCCCCTGTCCGTCCCAAGCAGGCAGCCAGCAGGGTTCCAAGAGCACCTCCTGCTGGTGGAGGGGCAAGATGATGAAGATACATCCCCTTGAACCACATCCTGGTGGAAAAAGAAAATCTCAGACCCAAAATGGCATCATGAACTGAGTTCCCACACAGGGATTTTATACCTAATTGAACAAATTTCAACCACTCCCGAAATGTAGTCGTACCCAGTCAGGCATGACATTTTTCTTTCCATTGAGTAATGAGTCTGTCTCCGAGGTCCTCTCCAGCCCCCAAAGGCAGATGAGGTCATGTGCATGATAAGAAATGCACATTGTTCTTCGCCCAAGAAAATAGGCCTGACTCCTGGAATCATCCTTCTTATTTGCTACTAATTCTCCGGCCCCACCCCACCCCCCATAAAAATCTTCATTTGCTCAACTTCTGTGAGTGGCCACCTGAGTGCCAGATGGGGTGATGCGTGATTCATGGATCATTCATGAGACAATTACTGCTCTAATTTATGAGGTTAAATTTTATTATTTAGCAGTTCCAAAGTTTGCTTCTGGATGATTAAATATAGACATCAAAAATAAATAAATAAAAGCTTGGAGGATGAGATTATTCATAATATATTAAATATCTGGACACACAGCTGCTTCTCATATATTTTGAATTTTTTTATATTTTTTAATCTATTTCTGAAAGAGAGAAGAGAGAGAGAGAGACAGCGTGAGCAGGGGAGAGTCAGAGAGAGAGGGAGTGACAGAATCTGAAGCAAGCTCCAGGCTCTGAGCTTGAACCCATGAACTGTGAGATGAAGTCGGATGCTTAACCGACTGAGCCACCCAGGAGCCCCTCAAAATAAATAAAAGTTGAAGGAAGGAAGGAAGGAAGGAAGGAAGGAAGGAAGGAAGGAAGGAAGGAAGGAAGGAAGATATTGTGTATGCAGGAAATCCACGGAAAATTTCCTGCCCTTTGAGGATTTAACTGCCATTACCACAACATTTCCTGGTTCATGGAGGTTGGTGCCGCTTGTCTTTCATCTGTAGGGAAACCCTGGAGTGAATTTTTACCAGTCACTTATTCCGTAGCAGAATCAGCACTCAATTCCTGACCAGTGGTTTGTTAGAAACCCATGAAAACACCCAGGACAGCCTGATACAGATGTCAGGGTTAACAATCATGACAGGGTAAGAGTGTGACAGATGAGGAAACATGAAGAAAAAGGCAAGCAGGCAAAAAAAAAAAAAAAAAAAGAAAGGAATAGAGGAATATTTTAAAGAACTCAGGGGAAGGAAGAGAGAAGTGAGGAAAAACATTACAAGGAAGAGACACATTAGCCCAGCCTCCCAAAGGGCCACATCCATATCTATCAGAGAGGAGTGTCCAGTCACAAGGGAAAGAAATCCACCTTGTTAGGCTGAAGACATACCAGGAATGTATTGGCTACGGAACTGTGGGGCCCAGGTCATTGGAGCTCCAGTCCCTTCTGTGGGTCTGTGTGTCTGCTTTCCATTTCCTGATGATTTGTTCTAACTGTGGCTGCTGCTTTTGGCTTCAATAAAGTATGATCACAAATAAAAATTGGAGGGAACCTGGGAGACTCAGTTAAGTGCCCAACTTCAGCTTAGGTCATGATCTCAAAGACTGTGAGTTTGAGCCCTGTGTCGGGCTCTGTACTGACAGCCTGTATTACAGGCTCAGAGCCTGTAGCCTATTTCAGATTCTTTCTCCCTCTCCTATGTACCTCCCCCCCTCAAATTCTCTCTCTTTCTCTCTCTATCAAAAATAAATAAAAAATAATAAAATTTTTTAAATGAAAATTGTACCTTTGTACAGCATGTAGCTTTCTGACCACCCAGGGAAGAAGGCTGAAAGACACCTTGGGCCATGTAGATCCTCACCAGCACTAACAGGTGCAGCAGAGACTATGATGTAACATGAACAAAGGTCCTTCTGATGAATGTCTTCCAACAACTTCTCAGAGAATAGGGCCTGAAGAACCTCAGGAGCTCAGTGCACACAGATATGTAGGGAGCTGGATATGATGCTCACGTGACCAGTTGCAGAGCCCCCTATGTGGCATGCAGCATTTTTTTAAGGAAATGAAGAATTTGTCAAAAAAACTTCAATTCAAGCAAACCATGAAAATTAATATTTTATGTAGCATTCATCACACACTTGAATACTTTTAATCATTGGGCAATAAGCTGTTTTCTCTAAAAATCATACAATGAAGTACATGCTTGAGGTCTGAATAATGTGTACATGGTGACGTGATGCCCACAATCACATGAGGTAACACAGCCACCACCTCACATCTGGAGCCTCTCCTCTCTCTTTCTTTTCTTTTCTTCTCATTCTTGTCATGATAACACTTTGGATCTACCCTCTTGGAAAACATCATGTATACAATTTCTCTCCCTTCTTGCATGTGGGTGTCACCCTCAGTCTTGATGCTCTGCTGCTGCAAAATGGATTGTAGTTGTTTAGGCTTCATACCCTGACCTTATCATCTAGGACAAAAGAGACCTTCTCATTCCCTACCATTGACCACAAGAATCAGAATGCCTGGAGAGGTCCCTGGTCCTAAACCATCCCTCTGGGCAAGGAAAAGTAGTTTTGACAGTGTCTTAGCCTAAGCTGGATATAACCTGTCCATCCATCATCCTGTCACATTGTCAAGGACACTTTCTACTGAGGGACTCAAGGCTAACAAAGCCCAAGGCTACACATGAGGGTGGAGTCAACCAAACAAAAACCAGAAGGAGACCATGTGAGGGTGATGAAGTGGACTGGACCCTAGAGAATGAGTCAACAAGTCTAATTTAGGGGAGAAGTTTAGGGAAGTCCCATAATTTGCTCTCCCCTTCCTGATATTTTTCACCTTTGCCACGTCTCCCATCCTCAATGATATTTTCCAGAAATGTCTGCATGTGCAAATGTCTCAGCTACTGCAAATATGTCATGAGGCAAAAGAAAAAGAAAAACCAATCAAAGTGACATAAATTCAACACGGGTTTTTACTGAGGACATATTCCATGCAGGTGACACTCTTTGCCAAGGATACAAATATTAAAAAGGCATCATCTCTAAAGTCCTAAGAATTAGAAGGAAAAGGACCCTAACTATTGGCAAAAGGCAGGAATAGATTTGCCTAGTGCAGGAAACTGTGGTGCTAATTCTCATCAAGCAAAAACTTCTTTGACTTGTGAATAAGGGATGGCTCACTGGAGGAAGTGACATCTGATGCCATTGAGCTTGATGCCATGGAGGTTTCTGGGACCTCATTTTATTCTTAGATACTTTTGATCTTTAAGTCCCAGAATCAGGTCAGGACAACAAATTCTGCTAAATTACACTTAACTCATATGAGAACTAACCGTTGAGCAGAAAAACAAAAGTTACACACAGAGACTTGCAAATCCATCCCTGCTGAGCTTAGGGATGTCCTGGTCCTGGGCTTCTGGGATCTCACTCCAAAGGGAGGGCAGTGCACTGAGGTCTCCAGTATTATTTCCTGGCAGGAACAGATTGGAAATTGCTCTGCACCAGGTGGAGGTAAGGACTGCAGGGGGAAGGCACTGGGAGGATGAGGGCTGAGGAAAGACAGGGAAGCGGGGAGGAGGGAACAGGTGGGAAAGAGCAGAAGGGAGGCTTGGGAGATGTACCAGCGCTTCCAGAGCCAGAACGCAAGACCAGCCAGAAGCACCGGAGGCACCAGCACCGCCAGGAAGACCAAGCGCATCGGGCGGTGCTGCTCTGTGGGTTTGGTGCACAGAAGGTCTCACTTCTCATCCATCCCAGGTTGAACTGCTCCTTCCTGCTCTTTTTTTTGCTACTGTCACCCTCTGCCTCACCAACCACCCCTCTGCCTTCTCCTTTCTCATCCCTCCTCAGAGATGGACTTCACCCAACCTACTTCCTCCCACATCCCCAGGACCCTCACCTCGGCTCTCCATTTCTTAGGTTCTTAAATTTTTGTGCTTTATGGTATGAAGTCTCTAGAATCCCAAATTTTTCATCTCGCTCTCCTCCCGAGAACCACTCACCCCCTGTCCCAGCCGGGCCCCAGCACTTTCTCACCCCAGTGGAGGAACACGTCCTGGCCTCCTAGACTGCTGTGTCTCACTCGGCAAGACAGGCCGGCCACTTCCTTGGCTTCCACATCCAAGGAGACCTGAAGATACCAGGTCCCGTCGGCCTGGGGCAGGATGTCACCTTGCTGGGTGCCCGGCTGCTCCTGCTCACCCCGCATCCACATCACCCGCACTGGCTTTGGGTAGAAGCTGGAGACGTGACACACCAGCAGCAGACGGCCAGGGCCGGGACTGGGGCCGCTGGACAGCCAGGCCTCTGGCCTCACTGCAGAGACAGGACAGGTATTCTCAGACTGAGAAAGTAGATCTTCACATCACTTTAGATACACACATCTTTCCACCTCTAGAATCCTATCACCATCATCCCCTCTCTCTCGGCCCCTTCTTCCCTGAATTTGAGAAAATGGTACAAATTTATGAGGGCAGTGAGAGAAAGCTTGGAGTGTGAGAGCAGGACTGACCTTGTCGCTGCAGGTCTGCCTTCCCTGCATCAAGAAGACCCAAGAGGAAACGGGGGCAGAGGTCATTAATATGTGCTTGTATCCTTAAGTTGACTACATGGTACTGACTGAATAGTTCGCAGACCTGCTGAGCAGCCCTCCTTCCTCCCTTTGGAGATGGCCACCATGACGTGTTCTGGAACTTAACAAGATCTAATCCTTGGTATGCAATCTCCATGAAGCCTACTGATGGTTTCCCATTGTGCACTTCACAGCCTTTTGCCACCTGTACCTGAAAGGGATCTGGGAAGGGAGGCTGTAAGTTAAAAGATGGGAGAGGGAAAAAAGATGAAATGAGGTGAGTAGAAGCCAAGGATGGCTGAACCAGAGGGAGAAGTTGAGAGTATTGGAGGGAATGGAACAAAATTTGGTTTGAGAGGAGGTTCAGACGAATGGGAAGTGGTGGTCACTGGAGGCAGAGGAAGAGGTAAATGACTGAAAAAGGAACAAATGTTGGAGAAGAAACAGGAAGAATGTGGGCAGAGAACAGGGAAGAGCTCCCTGTAAGAGTTGGGCTAAAATCATCTAGGGTGAGGGGAGAGCAGTGGGTACAGGGAACACATAGACGAAGTTTGCTGAGGGATTGAATGGGAAGAAAAGCACACCTCAAGGATCAGTCACTCAGCTAAGGAGAGGGGTGTGCCTGGTGGTAGCCCAGGGAATGAGGTGGCCATGGGAGACACTAGTGGAGAAATGAGAGCACAGTATGAGGTCAGTAAGAGGAGGGGAAATAGCATAAAACATGAAGCTTTTCCACATCAGGTCCTGATTTCTGCCCCTACCTCCTGATTCAGTTTTATCATGGGGAGATATGAGGTTCAGAAGCCAGTGGAGGCTCTTTCCTCCAAAGACACTCATACCTGCCCATCTATCCACTGCCCTGAGGGACCTGAGCTCACATTCGAGCTGCCATTGACTGACATGGTCCTGAAATATCAGAGGAAATCTGATGGAGAATGTATCAAATGACTTTTCTTGTTCCACCAGCTCCTCGTTGCTGAAGTTGCCCTTGGACCAAGGCCACAGGTAAATGAAAACACCAGTCTTGCTGTCCCAGCCATGAGTCTGCAGCTCGTCCAGCCAAACTGAGCCCTGATTTTGTGTCCAGAAACGGTTGTAAAAGGATGTCGTCAAGATGGTTCGTAAAGAGATTGGCTCCTGGAAGTCTGTGCCAGAGGAAGAGATAGACTGAGGAAGAGGAGGGCATTGGAAAGGAGAGAGAATGCACAATAAAGGTTCCAGGGAGGCCACCAAAATCTGGAGGACAGGGCGGCATAGTTCTCTCTGGAGACATGTGCCGCCCAGGAGCCTCGAGCTTCGTACCCATTGTTTAGAAGAACAGAGGGCCCTGGGGTCAGAGATGCTCAGGAGGGAACCAGGCTGAAACCCTCACTCCCCAGGTATGTGCTGGGGAACCCACACGATAAGTGCACACACCGTATGTGCACAAACACACTGACACACCTGTACACTCAGATTTATACATGTATGCGCACACATAGACATATACAAACAAACATACACACATGCACACACAGACACACATAGAGACGCACACACAGCAACCTATATGCACACACTCATACACATTTATACACACATACAGACACACAAGCACATGGACACACATGAGATACACAATTACACATGGGCACACATGTGTACACACCACACATACACAGACTCACACATGTGATGTGTGTGCACACACATGACATATGCACATGTACATACACACACGTATGCTCCCTTTGGGCAGACCCGCAGTCCTCACCATTTGTACCCACACATGTACACACATCACACACACTTACACCCCCTCAGCAGGGCCACAGTCCTCACCATCATCACTGTCACCACCTAGGACAAGAACCGTGAGCAACACCAGTTGCAACCACAGCATCTTATTTGTGAGCAACACCAGTTGCAATAACAGCATCTTATTTGCAGATGTTCATCCTTTCTCTTAGAAAGTGGGTCTTTGGCGTCTGTTCTAACAATCCTCCCCACACAAGGCCCCTCTCTTCTGACTTCCTTCTCAACACACAAGCTTCCCCGAGTCTCTGCAGCAATGCAAATGGGCTCCACCCTCAACCCTGGACACCTACTCAGACTCTCACTTCCCCTCCGGGTCTGACCCTCCTCTCGGGACCCCAGCTTCTCCCAGTCACCTGCCTCCATCCTGCTCCCAGAGGCCCTAACTCAGGTGCTGGGGAACAAGGCTTGTGTGGCATGGAAAAGTGACCCTACCTCCCGTGACTTTTCTTATCATCCACACAATAACCCACAAAACACAAATCTCCTCAGCACCCAGCCCTGGACACTGCTGTCACCCTGTCCCTCATGCCCTTGGGTCACTCTCTATGGACTTCCTTCATGTCTCACCCCCAACTCAGCTCATTCACATCTCTGACTTCTCCATGCCTGTGTTAAAATACAAAATCAGTGGGGTGCCTGGGTGGCTCAGTCGGTTAAGTGACCACCTTGGGCACCGGTCATGATCTCGCTGTGGTTCATGAGCTCTAGGCCCACATCAGGCTCCAAGCCTGGAGCCTGATTCAGATTCTGTGACTCCCTCTCTTTCTGCCCCTTCCCTGCTCATGCTCTGTGTCTCGCTCTCAAAAATAAGTAAACATTTGAAAAAAAACATCCAAAATCAAGCAGATTGATTTGAAGGTCACCTTCCCTTAATTGGGAAGGTAGAGGTCTAATCATGCAAATGACCTCCCCTCCCTGGGGGATGGAGAGGGCCCATGTGACAGAGGACCTCATTGGCACTGATCAGAGAATTCCTCACTGGCAGGGGAAAACTTACATTTCTGGGTGAGATTGGAACTGCATTTAGGTTAGGTATAAATAAAGTCTGTGGAGTTGGCCTGGCACAAGCCACCATTTTGAGCCCATGGATTTCTTTTTAATATTTGCTCTATTTGGGGCGCCTGGGTGGCTTAGTCGGTTAAGCGTCCGACTTTCGCTTAGGTCATGATCTCGCGGTTCGTGGGTTCGAGCCCCGCGTCGGGCTCTGAGCTGACTGCCAGCTCAGAGCCTGGAGCCTGTTTCAGTCTGTGACTCCCTCTCTCTCTGACCCTCCCCTGCTCGCGCTGTCTCTCTCTCTCTCCTAGAAATAAATAAAAACCTTAAAAAAAAAGTATTTGCTCTATTTGCTTTCCCAGATTCCTCCATAATTGCCTGTGTAACAGTGTCAGCAAGCACCAATTCGCCATTATTCTTAGGGAGGAGCCTGTTGCCATCACAGAGACTGTAGGACATGGAATCATCTGAAGAATTCCCTCTCTGTGTGATTTGCCATAATATATTCACTCACCAAACAGTCACTTAGCACCAGCCTGGATCCAAGAAATGAAAATACAGTGTTCACAGTGCAATCACTGTATTCAAGGAGCTCTTAGTCTACTTTGGAGTAAAAAACACATAACCAAGAACTATACATTTTGGCATGCTGAGTTAGTTTTTTCTTTTCCTTTGGTTGATATTTCAAAATTCTATTGAACATACAGTGTTATATTAGTTTAGGGTGTACAATATAGTGATTGAAAAATTCTATACACTACTCAGTGCTCATCAATTTAAGTATAATCCTAGTTCCCTTCACCTATTTCCCCTATTCCCTCACCTGCTTTCCCTCTGGTAACCAGCAGTGTCCTCTCTATTGTTTAAAGTCTGTCTTTTCATCTGTCTCTTTTTTCTTTTTTCATTTGTTTTGTTTCTTAAAATCCACCAATGTGTGACATCATAGGGTACTTGTCTTTCTCTGACTTATTTCACTTACCATCATATTCTCTAGCTTCATTCATGTTATTGCAGCTGGTGGTATTTCAGTCCTTTTTATGGCTAAGTATGTTCTGTTGTATATACATACCACATCTTTTTTTATTCATCTGTCCATGGGCCCTTGTACTGCTTCCGTATCTTGACTATTGTAAATAATGCTGCAGTCAACTTCAGGTTGCATGCCTCTTTTCCTTATAGTGTTTTCACAAGTTTGACTAAATTTTCAGTGGTAGAATTACAGGATTATATGGTAATTCTGTTTTTAATTTTTGAAGAACCTCTATACTGTTTCCATAGAGGTTCCATCAATTTGCATTTCCACCAATAGTGTAGAAGGATTCCTTTTCCTCCACAACCTTACCAACATTTGTTATTTCTTATGTTTTTTATTTTAGACATTTTGACAGACGTGAAGTGATATCTCCTTATGGTTTTGATCTGTATTTCCCTGATTTTGAGTGTTGGTGACCAACTTTTCATGTGTCTGTTGGCTATCTGGATGTCTTCTTTGGAGAAATGTCTGTTCATGTCTTCTCATTTTTTAGTTGGACTATTTGGTTTTTGGGTGCTGTTATGCAAGTTCTTTATATATTTTGGATACTAACCCAAGATCACATATATCACTAGCAAATATCTCCTCATATGCAATAGATTTTCTTTTAGTTTCGTTAATAGATTTTCTTCCTGTGCAGAAGGTTTTTTTTTTATATTGCTATAATCCCAACAGTTTGTTTTTGCTTTTTGTTTCCATTGCCTCAGGAGACACATCTAGAAAAATATTGCTGTGGCTGATGTCAGAGAACTTACTGCCTGTGCTCTCTTAGGACTTTCATGGTTTCAGTTCTCACATTTAGGCCCATTAACCCATATTTTTGTGTATGGTGTAAGAAAGTGGTGTAATTTCTGCCTTTTACATGTAGCTGTCCAGTTTTCCCAACACCATTTGTTGAAGAGACTTTCTTTTTCCCATGGCATATTCTTGCCTCCTTTGTCACACATTAATTGACCATAAGATGGTGGGTTTATTTCTGTGCTCTCTACTCTGTTCCAGTGGTCTTAATGTTTATTTTTGTGCCAGTACTACACTGTTTGATCACCACAGCTTTGTATAACTTGAAATCTGGGATTGTGATACCTCCAGCTTTGTTTTTCTTTTCCAGGATTGTTTTGGCCATTCAGAGTCTTTTGTGATTCCATATAAATTTTATGATTGTTTTCTCTTTCTGTGAAAAAAATGCTGTTGATATATTAAGGGCCATTGCATTAAATCTGTAGATTGCTTTGGATAGTATGGACATGTTCAAAATATTTGTTCTTCCAATCCATGACCATATAATGTCTTTCCATTTCTTCATATCACCTTCGATTTTTTTTAAATCAATGTTTTATAGTTTTCAGAATACAGGGTTTTTACTCCTTTGGTTAAGTGTATTCCTAGATATGTTATTATTTTGGGGACAATTGTAAAGGGGATAGTATTCTTAATTTCTCTTTTTGCTTCTTCTCTATATTGATTCTATATCCTGTAACCTTCCTAAATTCATTTATCAGTTCTTGTAGGGGTTTTTTTCTGGGGGGGTAGAATCTTTAGGGTTTTCTGTATATAAGATCAGGCCATACGCAAATAGTGAAAGTTCTACATCTTCCTTGACAATTTGGTTGCCTTTTATTCCTTCCTCTTCTCTGATTGCTGTGGCTGGGACTTCCAGTACTATGTTGAATAAAAGAGATGAGAATGAACATCCTTGTCTTCTTCCTGACCTTGGGGAAATGCTCTGAATTTTTCACTATCAAGTATGATGTTAGCTGTGGATTTGTTAAATATGATCTTTATTATTTTGAGGTATGTTACATCTACATATATTTTGTAGAGGGATTTTATCATCAATGGATGTTGTACTGTGTCAGATGATTTTTCTGCATCTGTTGAAATGATCATATACCTTTTTAATCTTTCTCTTATCCTCTCTCTTATATTATGTTGATTGATTTGTGAATATCAAATGACACTTGTATCTCAGGAATAAATTCCACTTGATTGTGATGATTGATTTTTTAATGTTTAGTTGGATTCAGTTTGTTAATATTATGTTGAGAATGTTCACATCTTTGTTCATCAGAAGTATTGGCCTGTGGTTCTCTCTTTGTGTAGTGTCTCTATCTGCTTTTGGTATCAGGGTAATGCTGGCTTCATAAAATGACTTTGGAAACTTTCTTTCCTTTTCTATTTAGTGGAATAGTTTGAGAAGAATACATATTATGTCTTCTTTAAATTTTTGGTGGAATTCTCAAACTGCATGGTCCCAGGCTTTTGTTTGTTGGGAAATTTTACTTACTGATTCAATTTCATTTCTGGTGTCTGGTCTGTCCAATTTTTTTTTATTTTTTCATGTTTCATTTATTGGGGGTTATGCACTTCTAGGAATCTATCCATTTCTTGAAGGTTGTCCAATTTAGTAACATAATTTTTCATCATATTTTCCTACAATACTGTGTATTTCTGTGGTGTCAGTTATTATTTCTCCTCTTTCTTTTTTAAAAATGTTTCTTTATTTTGAGAGAGAGAGAGAGAGAGAGCAGGGGAGCGGCAGAGAGAGAGAGAGAGAGAGAGAGAGAGAGAGAGTCCCAAGCAGGATCCACGCTGTCAGCACAGAGCCCAACACAGGGATCGATCTCACAAACCTCAAAACTATGACCAGAGCCAAAATCAAGAGTCAGACGTTTAACAAACTAAGCCACTCAGGCACCCCTATTTCTCCTCTTTCATTTTGTTTATTTAAGTTTGCTCTATGCTCACTCTTTGGGGTTTTTGTGTGTGTGTGTGTCTAAGTGTTTATCAATTTTGTTGATCTTTTCAAAGAACTATCTACTGATTTCATTGATCTGTTCTATTGTGTTTTTCTTTCTAATTTCCTATATCATTTATTTATACTCTAATCGTTATTCTTTCCTTTATTCTACTGCTTTTGGGGTTTTGTTGTTCTTCTCTTCCTAGCCCCTTTAGTTGTAAGGTTAGGATGTTTATTTGAGATTTTTCTTGCTTCTAGAGGTACCCTTGGATTGCTATAAACTTCCCATTTATAGTAGCTTTTGCTGAATCCCAAAGATTTT